GGTGCTTTTAACTGCTGAGTCATCTCTCCAGCTCCTCAACTATTTATTTTCAAAGCTCCTAATTTTAATTTGTAACCGGGGATGAAGACATGGCCCTGTCTCATCAGAAAATAACAGAAAGTGAATAGCAACAAAAATTAGTGTTAAACACTTGAAAAGTGAGTTCTGTTGCCACTCCACTAATACACATCACATCTGTTACCAATAAAAAAAACCACACTGATTAAACACACATTCAACAGCTTTGGGAAAATTACAGAAGTAACTTAAAGATATGTTTGAGGGCTGGGGTCACTGTCCAGTGAGGAAATGTTTGCCCAGCACTTACAAGGCCTTGGATATTATCTCCAATACAAAAAGAATTTGAGCTTGTATGTATCGTATAAAGTAACATGTTGGTACAAAGCCTATTAAAAATATACCCCAATAAAGCCCAATCATTCACCCAGCATGGTGGCACATGCCTTTAATCCCAGCACTTGGGAGGCAGAGGCAAGCAGATCTCTGTGAGTCTGAGGCCAGCCTGGTCTACAGATCAACTTCCAGGACAGCCAGAATATTACACAGAGAAATCCTGTCTCCAAAATCCAAAAACAAACAAATAAACACAAAAAAAACCAACCCCAACCACTTTGGAACATAAACATTTCTTAAAGCAGAACAATTACAGGATCACAGGAACACAGACAATTACAGGATCACGGGAACACAGACAATTACAGGATCATAGGAACACACTAAACAGACTGAACCTAAATGCATACTGTGGGAAGAATAAGTAGCGGCATCAGAGAAAGCCAGTGTGCTAAAGTCAATTCAGAAACACGACAGAACAAATGTAATCTTGCTTTCAGATTGCTGCTGGCTACAGAGCTGTGAAATCAGTTACACACCAAAGCACCTATTATTTGGAGCTGTTCCTCATCAACTTTCACTGTGGTATGACATCACAGTCTCACTGGGAGAAGGACATCCATTCTGCTGTATAACCTGGATACTTCTTGTTTCAAAGCACACATAGAAGAATCTGCCATTTTTAAGGTCCACTGCAATAAACTGAGAAAGCTGCTGGTAGCCAACCAGTCGATCAGGATTCCAGTCATTATAGGCCAGCCTGACTGCCTAGGGGTGGAAGAATCACAGTCTCAACCTTATCCGAACCCACTGACGCACACCAAAGGAGAAATTCGGACACACATACTTCATTCTCATTCATCCCTGAGTCTCTGAAACTTTTAAATATAACCTCCAATATTTCACAGTATGTCATCAAAACTTAAAAACTGTGGCCTGAGAAGTAGAAGGAAGAAGATCAAGAGCTTGAAGTCAGCTTGCTGTCAAAACAAGTCCAGCTGATCTGGGCTACATAGTAAGACCCTGTCTCAAAACAGAAACACAAGCAAATCCCAAACTCAAACACACCCCACTCCCAGCAAAAATTGTTTGAGTTGTAAAAATTATAAAACAGGAGCTGGAGAGGGGGCTTGGTTAGGAGCGCTGGCTACTGCTGCCGAGAACTCCAGCTCCGTTCCCAGCACCTACGCTGGCCATCTTACCAGCAGCTGCGATGCTGGCCCCAGGGAATTCAATGTCCTTTTCTGGCTCCACAGACATGCACATATATGTGCAGGAACACATACAAAATTCCTTAAAGTGCTTCAAAAATTACCCATCAGATAAAGAAGGCTCAAATTACCTTTCACTGAGAAGGAAAAGATCCCTGACCAAAGAGGAAGAGGGCACAAGAGAGTGGCTATTAGTAGTTTTGACACAATAAACTCAGTCCAGTCTCCATAGGAACCTCCCAGCCTAGAGCTTTCTGTTTGAGCTACAGTATTCCTTTAGATTTATATCATGCACTCAGAACCCAAGTTGCATTTTTTTTCCAGATAAAAATAGAATTTGAGACTTTTACTTAAAAACTAAATAAGACATTGTATGAACATCCTGAGTTAACAATAAGAACCACATCAAGAAATGTGACAGGTGATTTCTTGGCCCATAATACTTACCAGTCTTTCTGAGATATGTTCTTATTATAAATATGCCCGGGGTTCTCTTTATAGGGAGGGCAGATACATTTACACCTCACATCTTCAAAATTCTGTAACAAAAATGAAAACATCAAAGCTTGTTTATAGCTTGTCGTTAGTCGTCAACATTCTGAAAAATCTGCACACACACACTCTGCTGAGTGACCTTTCAGGTATCCTAAGACCATCGTGAAAGTTCCTAAAGTCCACAAAACCTGACATATGCTTTATTAAACACAAGCAGATTTATCGTCATCTACCTGCCACTAGAAAGACACATCCCTGACAGGTAGTTGGGGCCTACAAAGAGAAATGCTGATATGAGAGGATCAGAGAGAATCAAATTTAAAAATTATTCATAAGCAAGTCACAATCCTAGGCTGGGGGTGGATGCAGCTCAGGGCTGAAGCATGGGCAGCATGCAGAAGACCAATTTAACCTATAAAACAACAAAGGGGGGCAGAATTCTTCTAAGTTCATCTTTTCTAACTTTTTCCTTTTGAGAGAAAGGCACTGAGCATGGATAAAAGAGGCTATGTCAGCTATAGACAGGATGAAGATTCAGGGGCACTCAGTCAGTGCTAGGCGGGGAGTCCAAAGGGAAGTATCTTGAATCTTGATGAATTTTGCTAATGTCCCCTCAAGAAATAGGGAGGACAACTCCTAGCAAAACAAATTTCACCAAGCAGAGAAAGCGCCATTAAATGCTGAATAGATCCAAGAGATGCTTCCTCAGCAAAGGGGTGTTTATTTGAGATGGCAATGGCTCATTAGTCCCCAGAGAGACATGTCCACTGCTCCTACGTACAATGAGATGTCTGGCAGAGCTGCTGACAGCTCCTAAATGTATTCAGCAGCCTCTGTGCCAGACCCTGGATTCAATGAGGACAACTCAGAAAAGCAAGAGGCATGGCTCCTGTTTCCTGGAACAAATTCTATCAAGGGGAGATAGACAAATACAGGTATTATGAATATCATGATACACTACATAAAATGGTCATGTATGATATCCATGCAGGGGGTGTCAACTACATTTAAAAAGTTAGGAGACTTTCTGCTGTCCCTATTTTTGGTGACATCAGAAAGATTGGGAGAGAAAAGCCCTCTGACCAAAACCACCTGCCTTCCTGTAACCCGTCTTTCCCAGCCCTTTATAATATCTAAAAATATTGTAAAACTCTTCTTTTAAACATGCTGTATCACTATTTCCCCCACCACACTGGGAATTCTTTCTATTGTGCCCCCAAATGAGTTAGCTCATTGGGGAGAAAGCACATGTTTTCTTGGACCAGGGCAGTTCTGGGGCACCAGATAACAACATGAGGGAACCAGAACGGTTAAGAAACACACGGGTGGGGGGGAGTGGGGGGGAAGGACACAATCTCCCCTCTCTCCTAGACCGGTTCTTCCCTTACCTAGCAAATTATCAGAAGAGGGAGATGTGTTTGTGTTCGATCCTGGAGAGGGCCTGGGTCAGAGTATTAAGCTGGTGAGAAGACCCTGTAGGTCCTCCTGGGAAGGGGTGGTCAGCCCCCACAAGTGGCAAGCCCCCACCATGGCACGGGAATCTGTTCATTGATGAGTTGAGAGGAGCTAGTACCTAGTAGGGAAGACTTCAGGGAGATGAGAGTTTCTCATCATTTGGTTTTGGGCCCGGGGGCTGGTGAAGGCCGGGAGTGGGCTGCGAAGTTTAAGGGTGGAAAGTTCAAAGCTCCCATGGCTGGAAAGCTCCTCAAGTTCCGGGTGTGTGCTGTCAGGGCTGGGAAGGGAAATGTCAGGAGGTGGAGGAGTTGCAGATCCGGCTCCGGGCACTGTCAGGGGCTGAGGGTTAGGAAGCTCCAGGCAGGGCCGACCTGGGCTGCGAAGCAGGGGATCTGGCGGTCGGACTGGGAGAACCCGGGAGTGGGGAGCAAGTGGGCAGCCCGAGTTTCAGCCAGGCCAGAGGCAGGGGCGGAGCTCCTGTCAGGAGCCGGGCGGGGCGGGACTCACCTTGGCGGCGCCTGTCAGCGGCGCGAAGAGCAGCACGGACAGCGCCAGGCAGGACAGGCTGAGCCCCGGGCCCAGCCGCAGCAGGCCGCCGGCCCACAGGCTTGCC